GGGCCCCACAGCTCAATGTTGTGTTGGGGACACAGTTTGACAAAGAAGATGGGGAATACGGAGATGGCCCGGGAGGCCTGGAACTGAGGCTGCAGGGCTGTTCCACCTAAGGAGCACCCAGCAGCCCTGGCGTGGGCTGTTGCCACTCTTGGAATTTTATGATTATCATTAATTTTACTGCTGAGCCACATCCCCAGCACCATTTATTTATTCATTCATTCATTCATTTATTTCTTTTGAGAGTCCCGCTAAGTTGCTTAGGGTCTCACTAAGTTGCAGGGCTGGCTTTGAACTTGTGATCCTCCTGCTTCAGCCTCCCTAGCTGCTGGAATTACAGGCGTGTACCATAGCACCCAGCTACTCTTAGAATTTTAAACGAACAGGTTCATTCATTCCCGTGACAACCCTTTGAGGTGGGTACTAGCAAGCTCCTTTCTAGAGGAATCCCAGGTAGAGAGAGGTCAAAAGGCTGGGCTTAGAGGTGTGAGTACTGGGGGTGGTAGCTGACCACCTGCCGTGCACCTGTCCTAGAGACAGCTTGGTCCCAGGGAGCCGATGCCGTCAGAGGCAGGTCAGAAGTGAAGGCCAGGCTGGGTCAGGGGCTGAGTGACAACGCCGACGAACTCGAGTCAGCCCCGGTCTGAGCTGGGGCTTCTTTGTGGCAGGTCGATGGGGACATCCCCCCACGAGTGAAGAAGGATGCACACGAGCTCATCCTGGACTTCATCCGCTCCCGGCCTCCGCTGAAGCAGGTGCCCAGGCTGTGCCTCCTGCAGGGTGCTCCAGCCCTGCTGCTGTCCTGTGTCTCGCCTGCAAGGGGGCCTGAGCATACCTCTGCCGAACCACGGGGTGGCTCTGCTCCCTGTCTCCTGGCTGGAAGGCTGGGCATGGCCCGGGCCTCTGTCCTTCTAGGAGGACGGTGCTGGTCGCCTCCCCCATGCCTGTGGCCGGCAGAGCTCTTTTGGGTAGCACTCCTTCCTGGAGAGAAGAGTTAGCGCCCTGTGTCCTGTGAACCTTGAGTATCTCCCCGCTCCTGAGCGTCCCCTGTCACTGTCTAAGTCCCTCCTACCTCGGGCTTCGTCCTCTCTGCAGGTCTCCGAGAGAAGGCTGCGCCCCTTGCCACAGAAGCAGAGGACGCTGCACGAGAAGATCCTGGAAGAGATCAAGCAGGAGCGGAGGCTGCGCCCCGTGGGGGACCAGCGCTTGGGCACCCGAGGTGAGCAAGAGGAGGGGTGATGGGAGAAGAGACCCCAGGCGGCCCTGGGTGAAGTCCCCACTTCCCCTGGTGGCGCCACCAATCAGGAGTCGGTGTCGGCTCCGCGAGCTCCTGGGCAGGGGACATCCCAGTTTGTAGTCTGGCCTTGTGAAGGTCAGGTGCCCTGACTTTACTCTGGGTTTTGACCTGACTTTGACTTTTGGCTATGATAAATTTCAACAATTAGGCGGAAAACAAAATAAAACCGAAGTTTTGGGGTCTGGGAAAATCAGGCATTTATTCAGCTGTCTGAGACCTGATCTTCCCGGTCAGAGTGGAGCCCATCTGCAGTCCTGGTACTCTGTCTCTGAGAGGCTAGCCTGCACTGCCCCTCGGGTCGGGTGTCCAATTTGTTAGTGACCGACCAGCCCTCAGGCTCCCGTTCTGTAAAGTAGGGAACTAAGCCAAGCCCTGTCCACCAGGCTGGCCGCACGGGTCCTGTGCACCTCCTCCCCACTCACGTCCCCCCTGCCTGGCCTCCTGCCTCCCAGGGTTCGGCTCTCTGCCCTGTATCCTCAGTGCCTGTTCTGGCGATGTCAAGTCCACTTCCTGCATCAACCTGTCCGTCCCCGATGCTGGGAGCAGTGTGCAGCGCCCGCGACCCCGAGTCCTGCTCAAGGCACCCACCTTGGCTGAGATGGAGGAGATGACCACATCTGAGGTCAGAGCCCCAGAGACTCCTGGGGACCAGAGGGGGCCACAGTGCTCAGCTGGGGGGGCATCCACTGCCAGGGCTACTGGCCAGTGGTGGCAGGGGGCTTAGGGCCCTCAACCCATCTTGGCAGCTCAGAAGTAGCTTTGGGATGCTGGGACAGTGGCCTGGGACCACTTCTTCCCACAGCAAAAAGAGCTGAGAATAGATGGGACCCATCATCTGGGGCCAGCAGGCTAATCAGTCCCTGGTTGATAAGAAAAGCTGTCACCCTGGCTGCCCTCTGACCACAGCCCCCCCCTTCCCAAGGGGACAGGAGATGACTCCTGTGGTGGTCCTCCTGGTGGGCTCAGCTTTCTCCTGGACATCTCTCCGGGACTTTCCAAAGACCTCAGGGGAGGTGGGGTTTTTAAGGCACTTGCTATGAACTTCCCAGTAGATGGGAAGCCCAGCAGTGGGCAGAGGGCAGCCTGGCCTGGGTCCGGTGCCTCGGTCAGGGAGGGGCAGGGCACTGGGGCACCGTGGCCAGGGCAGGGCTCTATCTGACGTGTCTGCAGGAGGAAGAGTCGCCCTGTGGGGAGGTGGCGCTGAAACGGGACCGCTCTTTTTCGGAGCATGACCTGGCCCAGCTCCGGAGTGAAATGGCCTCTGGCCTGCAGCCAGCCACACAGCCCCCAGGAGGGACGGAGCCACCCCGGCCCCGAGCAGGCAGCGTGCACACCTGGAAACCCAGCACCCGAGACCAGGGCAAGTGCTGGTCCCACCTCCTGCCTGACCTTCCCCTCAGATCTGCCCAGGGCAGCCGGGGCCCTGGCCGTCCTGAGCAGGCAGCTCCCCAGGGTACAGGAGCTGCTCTTGCAGTAAGACCTTCAGTCTCCCACTGACACCCCCTTTCTCCCTTGAGGACATTTTCATTTACTATAAAACATTTCCTCAAGAACTCGATTCTCCAGCCTCACTGTATCTCACGGCGGCTGACACACAGCAGGGAAGCTGCCTGGCCAGACACCAGCCAGCTCACAGTCCTCTCTGTGGACAGAAGCAGGATTCCCTCGTAGGCATGTGGGTCGCTCCACAGGTTCCTTTCCCGCTGGAGTACACAGAGCATCGGCTGGTGCTTGCGGGCCAGGCAGGGTTAGCTCTTCTGAGAGCTGTCAGGTAGCGGGTTGTCAGCCCCCAGGGATGGCCGGCCTCTTGGTGGCCTGCATGGTCCCCTGAGCAGCCCTGCAGCCTTCTGGCCACTCTCGGGACAACCCATTGGTCCTGATGATTCCCTTTCCGGGTCGGAGGCTGGGCCAGGCCTTTCTACACTGTGTGCTGCCCAGGTCTCTCCCTCGGCCAGCTGTCCCTTTTCCCCTGCCCTGGAGCCTCCAGCGTACCTGTGGGCAGGGGACCTCCTCGTGTGTGCCTGCCAGTGCTCAGTCTGCCGCTCCGCGGGTGCTCAATGCTGGCTTGTCATGGGGCTCATAGAAGGACCCTTCAGGGTCCCGTGTGGCCTCTGAAGAGCATGGACCTGGTACAGGTCCCCACCTGGGGACATGCTTTCTACTTGACTCAACTTGATGGTCCTAGCCTACAGAGGCACACACCACCCCCTTCGCCCTCCCTCCAGCACTCCGCCAGGTGACCCTCACAGGCCTGTGTTCTTTCAGGTTCCTGTCCTGTGAGTGTCCAGTCCCAGCCGGATCCCAGCTCCCCGCAGCTCAGCAGCCTGAGCTCAGCAGACAGACCTGAGGCTTCTGCACCAGACACCAGGCACCTGTGGTTGGTGAGTGATGCTCCTGTGGGGACTCTGGAGTGAATCTTTATGATGTCTGAACTCCAGCTGGTGCTGGGGAGACCCAGGCTCCATTCCTCGGGTCTGGCTGGGTCTGGCCTTGTCCCCTGTGCAGCTGGTGCTGTCTGGGACATGGCTCTTTGCTGCCCCCTGCTGGGGCACATTGGCACTGCGACCCCAAGGGTGGAGTGTGTGAGTTGAGGCAGCTGTGAGCCCTGAAGGCTGCATCCTGGGCCTTCAGCGTAACCTACCTGCTGAGAGAGGAGACCTGGCCTGGCCCAGATCTCCCCGTTCTCCGTCTATCAGCAGAGACCAGGTCTGATGCAGGGTGGTGCAGAGATTCTGCCTACCCCTGTCCTGAGGCCCCGCTCCAGAGCTGTCACCCTGTGACAGAGGCACGCAGGCAGGTGGAGGGGGGCAGGACACCCTCTGAGAATGGGTGTGGAAGTGCTTTGAAGAGTGTTCTGTGTGGAAGGAAGGCAGTGCCTGCCGTTGATTTTCCCTGGACGGCGACCCTTGCCCCTTCGGGGTTAGTTACTGTTCCTGCACTAACATTCCTTCTCAGGCTGCACAGGCCCGTAACCCCAGCCTTGGGAGGCTGAGGCAGGAGGATCGCAAGTCAGAGCCAGTCGTAGCAACTTAGTGAGACCCTGTCTCAAAGTAAAAAGTAAAAAGGGCTGGGGATGGGATTCCCTCAACTAGGGAGGCTAAGAGCGTGGGGTTCAATTCCTGGTACCAAAATTTTTAAAATATACAAACAAATAAATCAATAAACGGGTCGGTGTGACTTAGCATGTGCCAGGCCCTGGGTTCGATCTCTAGTACCCTGCTTCCCAAACAGTTATCCCCATTTGGCTTTTTTAAAATTAACATTTAGGGGCTGGGGTTGTGGCTCAGTGGTAGAGTACTTGTCTAGCACACATAAGGCACTGGGTTTGATCCTCAGTACCACAGAAAAATGAAATAAAGAT